TTCTGCCTATTTGTATTCCCAATGCTCCCTTGACGAGCTGAACACAACAGCCTTACGCAGGCGGCTCGAATACGACTCCCCTCGCTGGGTTCCTCCCAAGAGTGATGCGCCCTGTTAGAAAAGGACCTGCTAAACGGTTGTAACAGTCTATCGAATTCTCCGTTTTTTTCCGTTTTCGATTTTGGTCGATTTTAGCGCTATTCTTGTTTCCCATGCACCTTAATAAGTCTTAGGTTGGGTAAAAATGGAAAGGTTGTTGGATTTTCTGAGTGTCCATTACGAATTCTTTGGGGTTTTTTTGCGCGGTTCACCCATCCGGGAGCCTGGAAAGGTACCCAAATGCACTTACTCTAAGCTAAGTCCTTTATCGTTCCAAGCTAAGGCGTTTACCCTATTGCCTTTTATCGTGGGTGAGTAAGTACCTGGGGTAAATAACTTGAGAATCGTCTTTGAGGTTCTGTCTTCAAAATCCGAGTTCATTAAGGTCCTTCATCAACCAAGAATGCCTTTCGAACCGTAAAAATAAATGAATAAATAGTAAATATAACGTCATATTATGAGTGGTGCAGCTATTTACCTTGGGTAAAGAAGTACACACGGTAGGTGGCCGTAGTGGTTATAGTGCGATGTTATATTACTATTTAATTGTTTATTTTTATGGCTTGACAAAGCCTTTCTGGTTGATGAGCGGTCCTTAAGGTCCTGTATTTCCAAGCGTGGAACCCTAGCAATGGCTCCTAGTGGGCTATTTATCCCGCGTACTTCTTTAAACGGTAGTAACTGTCACACAAAATTAAAGGAGCAGTTCAAGCCAATCAGATGCCTCTTCAGGCCCCGGATGGGCGATTCTACAAGAAAGCATAGCGAAGTGGTGGTGAATACCCAGGAAATCCAGCAGCTACTTTATTTTTACCCGGGCTAAGAACTATTAGAGCGAACGAAGCGATCCTGGTTGAACTGGAAACCTGAGGGTTTAGTCTCGGAAGTAGTTCTCAGTGAGCTGCTTGGCCGTCGAGTGATCCAATCACTCTTACTTTACTATCTCGAAAGTGGCGAACGTTACGACGATGACGAGACGTCCTGCAGCGGCTGTCAGCACATTACCTGTGCTTGTTTGTTTGTCTCTGACCATGTCTCGAACACTCCACGATATTCCCAATCCCTCTGGGCCCGTGATGCATGGCTCTATACGATGATCGGAGGCCAGCCCATACGACAAATGTTCCATTCGAAACTCGAATCCATTTTGATGTTTGTTATTTCTCGAGAAGAAAGAAGCGGATGACTGCTGCTGCTCTAACTCCTCTAATACCTCGTACAGCCATGACAAATCCCTGAGATGAGAGTAGGACGCCGTTGCCATTGTAACACTTCAGCTCCAACAGCCTCCAGATCCGACGCACGATGTAATTAGGTTTTTGCTTGATCCATGCAGCTCCTACATGGGCGAGTTTCTCCGTCTCACTCTCCGGAATGTCCTGGAGGTCAAGGGAGTCGCTTTCGGGCTATGAGTGGTGTAGAGCGAAGGTGAAATGGCGTTCTTTTCACGACCCCCCCCCTCCAAATTTTCTCCTGCGGTATGACCTCCAGTAGGATTCTCCCATGTATTCTGGCTACAAATGAATGGATAAAGTTATTCGCGTTTTCAACTGCTGAATAACTCCGTTCCTCTTGAGCCGCTCAGGCTAATCCTTTCCATTTCTGCATCTCAATTTTGCTTTCACAATGTGGTACGGTATACAACTCTTACCGTAAACCCCGTATGAGTGACACACACCTACGTCATGAATGTCAGCGCTTAATGCTTTTTGCAGTTGTAAAAATTGACATAGGGCTGAGTTGTTGTTCATTTTTGCAGTTTGAATGTCTGGAAAGTAGTGGTTTTGGATGGGCAAGGGGGGAGGATTTGCAGCACTCAGCCTACTTATTCGTTGCATTGTTTGTGGTGCTTATTGCGCGTACGTTTCTGTGAGCCTTGTCGCTTTTGAACACTCCATTCTGTCATTGATCACTTTGAATAACCGGTACTTCTCGTAATCACACCTCATATACCAAAGGAGGAGGGGGCGTGGCCGCGTATTTCATTCGAATGTGGCGACAACTGCGTTTCCAATGGGATATTGCCATTCTAAACAATTGCGATCATGTCTTTGTCCAGCACAAGACAAGATGACAGTTGTTAAAAAGGGAAATGTCACACAAAAGACATTTCAAGCCATGTCTAAAAGGTGTACGCGGCCACGCCCTCCTCATTCCGAGATATGGAATGGATAATAGTTCCAAGAGAGCATGCTAATTGAAAACATATTTCAGAAGGAATTCTGCAACAAATACTATCTGGCCACTCATCGTGCTGCGAAACACGGACCATCAAATCTAATGCTATCGTCGCAATCGGGTGTTGATCTGTCAGCGTTGAGTCGTGGTGGAGGAGGCGGTGATGTCCCATCAAGTATGGACATCCAACAGCTGATGGTTGGATTGGATCAGGTAAGGGGAGAGAAGGACAAACATTTTGAAAATTGACTTGTTGCCAGAAAACAGAACGGATTACGAGGACCCCAGAATTTTTTGCATATGGAATAGTTCTGTGAAATTTCTGTGGAGATTCTTCTGTTTTGAAGACATAGTTCGCGCAGGTCGTATGGGCGGAGTAAGACCTACCAGAGCCTTCTTTACTCCAAGGTTCATCGACGAAGGAAGCACCATAATAGGCTAAACTCTGCCCATCCGATCAGCGTAGACCGTTCCCTTAATATACCACTTCCGATTAGAAGGGGGTGTCGGAGAATAGCGGTATCTCTTGTGAATATAGTTGAAATTCTACCCAAGTAGCATCTGGGTGGAATTTTGTATTCTCCCCGAAAACGGGCAGGAAACAGAAACCAGGTAGTGGGCAGTCAGTTGACTGCTGGATGTGGCCATCATGGTTCACACTGAGGTGCTTTTTCTCAAAACGTATGGCCTATTAGTAATTTAAATGTTGAAATTTAATTGGTTCGGGGGTGCAAATTGAATTGTGGCACCCACATGAATCATCACAACTGCACAGCAGTGCACTGTACAAGTGGATCTATCCGCTGTTGCCATTTTGATGAACAAAC